ACACACACATAAGAAAAAGATCTGGTTCGATCCCAGGAGGAGACCTCGTCCTCCGTAACGCTGCATCTGTCTGACATGAGTCTAATAAAAGAACCATTCCCGGGTTTCTCAGATCTTGTGACGCTCTGTGTAGACATGGTTTGTTTCTTAGATAAAGGAAAGCGTCCGGCGCTGACGATGTAGGGTTTGACCCACACACGGTGGATGCAGCCGTACCTCTGTAGAGGTCGTCGAGGCCCAGGTACGAGTTGGGGATCTGCTGCAGCTGCTGCGCCTGGCTGCTGTGGAGCTCCTGGATGTAGCGGTGCTGCTCACTGATCACGTTCATCAAGCCCTGGATCTCCGCTTCCAGCCGGCTCACCCTCTCCTCACACGGCACCGGCGCCTGGACAGGAGGATAAAAACGCTCTCCTCTGGCACTCGGCAGTAACGAAGAAAGTATGAGAGGATCATTGTTGTCCTCATCAGTGTTTCTGTGATCTACTCTCCATCCTGACTGAAGCTCGTCACAGCAAACACTCCCATGATTTCTGAGACTGTTTCAAGGACTTTAAAAATGAAATCATTTAAGTTTCTGCCAATGAAACTCCTGCAGAACTGCCAATGCTTTGATATTAATATATACAAATGCAGTTTGAAATAAATCCATATTTATGATGCTGGAATCGTGTGAAGCTGCGAATCTAAACGATATAAAAGCCGAGATTAAAGAATCATCTTATGCACACTGATGCCTCACCTGCAGCGTGGAGGTAAAGGTCAAAGGTTATTGGGATTACTTTTAGTAAAGGTACTTTTTGTAATCGCCTCATGCAGATTTGAATGAAAACGTTCACCAGCAGGGGGCAGTGTTACAGCGACCGCGTGCTGTTTAACGTTGATTCAACACGCTTTGTTTTTATTGTAAATGTGTTGTTAAATACTGAAGTTACACTGACTCACTGCTCCCTCGTGTGGAACAAAATGGTATTACATGCACGTCCAGCTCAGCTCTGAACTCGAATGCAGATCTTTTCAACAGAATATGGAGATATTTGGGCAGAATGTGCGTGGTGCGTGTTTCTTAGTTTAGAGGAAGTTAGCAGACGTACTTTGAGTTACTCAGCACTGCATCAATGAATCACAACGCAAAATTAGAGCTGAAGCTTGAACAGATGAGGAGTTATCAAAGTGGGGTTCAAAAGGTCAATAAACCAAAATAAAACTGAAATATGATCATTACTGTTTATTTCTAATGTTTGTATTTTACTCTGTCGCAATAAAGTAAACATTCAGTTTTTATTCTGTTTCTGTCATTTGTTAGTTTGATTGATGGAAATAAAAATCCTGAGACTGAAGTGCAGAAAAATGAAATGATACCAGTGAGATGAATTTCTTGTTCTGTACAGTAAAAATGAAATCTGAATCTAAACCACGTTCAACACCAACGTTCTCATTTTTCAATAAGTCATCGGAGAAGCACAAACAGTGTCCCTGTGGACAGAGCTCAGTCTGCGCTTCCACTGGAACAAAGCGACGGCTGCATTTTTCACCTCTGTCATCAGCTGTGTGAGGACCCAGATCTCAGAGATACTTAAGGCAGGAAGTACAGAGTGCACGAGGAGAAATATGTCACACGGACGCTCCGGTTTCTTACCGCCACAGAGGAAGCCAGGTGAAGCAGAAAGGCCACGGACGTCCTCAGCGTGACCATCATCGGCACTCTCATCGACTCGCTGCCCGACCCTCCTCCGATTAGCCTCTCCGCCTCCTCTGACATCGCTGCACAGCCGTGGGGAGCCTCCATCTAGTGGCTGCAGTGACTGAGCCAGCAACACCGACCACTGTACACAACAAAGATAATGACGTGATCACCAGTGAATGGTTAAGGAGAGACATAAATAAATGCTCAAATAAAACCATTTCTATACACTTATTTTTATCTACTTCTCTGTATGTTAATACAAAGAGCAAATCTGACCATCAGAACTGATATGGCATGTATTTCTAAGTAGTTAAGTTTTATTCAGCAGCAAGCAAACACAAATGTTGTATAATGTGCATGGGTACACATGTTTTATTACTGGCATTAAATTTAACTCAATTAATCATTAAGTGCATTTAAAGTAAACATTATTTTAATTTTCAGCTAATTCCCTCTATTTGTGTCAATGTTAGTCTTCCGTTCCGCACAACGTAACACCGTTAGCTAGTTATATTAGTTACTTATATTACAGTTATATTACAGCATATTTAATACATAAAAACAAAAAAAAACAAAAAAAGGTGCGACTCCGGTGGGACTCGAACCCACAACCTTTGAATCACTCCTCAAGTGCTTGACTAGAAGTCCAATGCGCTATCCATTGCGCCACGGAGCCACCTGTTGCACAGGCTGCAATGACAGCTTTTTAAGATCCTCTTTCCACACGAGGCGCTAGCAACACGGCTAATCTGCTAATACTGCGCCCGTGTCCGCTACACAAACAATAATGCTATAAAATAGCACTTTAATGCTAACGTTAGCTTAGCTGCTGTCAGCCGGCCCGCTTCTCCTCCGCCCTCTCTTCGTTAGCTCACACATGGAGGCTCAGGCTCTGTCCTCAAAGACAACTACTCCTCCGACACTGATCATATTTGCTTCAGCAGTCATGACGTTAGACTGCTTCGCTTGTTTCAGCAGAAAGAACGTCGGAGAGCAAACATCAATGTCCTAGCTCAATTCAGTGAAAAACACTACGTAAATTGCGTGCAACTGTGTCATTTAAACACTTTATAAACAGATTGAGTCGTGTCTTGAGTTGCAATTTGAGGGTTCATTCTGTGATTTTAGCAGCGGAGTTTTTATTGTGAAATTCTTAAAAACCGGAAGTGATATGTGCGTTTCGAAAAAATAGAAATGGCTGAGAGAACATGCAGGACCAAAATCTAATATGTCTGATATATCGTGACGTGAAACGCGAGGTGAAAAGAGAACATCTCCTGTGTTACTTTTATCTGCAGCAATATGCTAGTGTGCTAACGGACTACCCAGGTTTTTGAGGAACCAGTGACAGAAATCTGCCAGAGCCCGGATAGCTCAGTCGGTAGAGCATCAGACTTTTAATCTGAGGGTCCAGGGTTCAAGTCCCTGTTCGGGCGTCGATATTTTTCGCCCCTTTAGTTAAAGAACCTGCTCAAAGTGAGCCCACATATTCTTTGCATTACTGCAGTGACTCAAATATAGCTTTTATGTTTTCATTGTAGGAGTAAATGTTAAACGCCTATGACAAGACCTCCCACCCACTCCATGATGTGCTGCCCAGTCAGGAGCACACTGGGATTACCCATAATGCACCACTGAACGATGCAGAAAATCATTCCTCCCTGTACAACTCAATCTAATACACAGCAGACAGTGCAGCGGTTACACCCTTTTGCAGATGCTCTCCTGTGAAAATATCAAAGTGTTACAGGTTACAGTCAATCATATATATTTAATCGCTGTAATAATCCAGAATTGTAGAGCTATTTTTCGTATTTTGTAAACTTTGTAATAAATGGTTTTTTTATGTAGTTCAGTCTGTTACTGATCTTTTTGTCTTGGAGTGACTGTGACCACATCATTTCCTAAGGGATTAATAAAGTATGCTGATTGGGATAAATTTACAACAGAAACATGTTTGGCTGCTGTGGACAGAGTCCAGACACACACAGAGCTGTTGATCGGCTGCTCAGTCAGCCTTTGCTTCAACCTTGAGTGAAGCTGAAGCACACTGGGCCCATGCCCCCTTTTCGGGCTGTGCCAAGGCCCGGCCACCAGATGCTTGCTTTCGGGCACCCTCCCCGGGCCTGGCTCCTCGGGCAGGGTAAAGTGTTCCCTCGGTGATATTCTCATAATGGTCTTCTGAATCGCTCTTTGTCTGGTCCCTCACCCAGGACCAATTTGCCATGGGAGACCCTACCAGGGGGCAAAAGCCTCCAGACAACAGCCCCTGGGATCCCTGGGACACACAAACCCCTTCACCATGATAAGGTAGCGATTCACATTTTGTTAGCCACGCTGAGGTGCTGGGGGGGATGATCTCGTACATGGTTGTCATAGTTTCTGTCATAATCGCCAGCAGAGCCTCTGTCAGTTACTTTTTATTTGTATCTGTTTTTTAGGGTGTCCCACATGGGTCCAATCTGGGACCAGCTCTCCTTTGTCAGGTACATAATTAAATGACACATTTCTGTAAGCATGATAATTCAGTTTTATTAATACAGCACAACCCGCATCAGTGAACATATTCAGATTCTTGAAAAGATAGTGGCCACACTATCCACTCATACTTAACTAATGATAATCTGTATGAACAGTTCCAGTCTGGTTTTCGTCCCTCCCATAGCACTGAAACCGCACTAATAAAAATCACCAATGAT